CTACATTCTAGGTCAGATCCGACTCTTGTAAAGACACTACATGGCGAAAAGCGTGAGATAAATGCTAGATCTATATTAACTCACCATATGTAGGTAGTAGATAGATAATGATATTGTTTAGGTTTTGCAGACTATATTTTACTTTCAAAACAAAAACATTTACTTTATTTATTTATTTTATTTCAGAAGTTTTAACATTTTGATAATATGTGAATATTTAATCGGCACTACAAAAGTGAACGTTATCCACAAATCTCCAAGTAAAAGTTTTTCTCAAATACATTTATTATTTAATTTGTAATTTTCAGTTCATTAAAGATGAAACAATTTTCGTGATTCTATAAACAGAATACTGATTTGTTTTTAAACATTACACTTTATCTATAAAAATGAAAGTTTATAGATGTAAACCACTAAAAAGTTATAAATTACAAGACCAAAACAAAATAAGTAAATTTACTACAAGGTAACCAAAAAAGTTCTGTCAGTTTTTTGATTAGTCATTGAATGAAGTTGAAATATATACGAAATGCGTGTAGCAATTGTTTTCAAATTCGGACAGCCGGAAGTAGGAACATCAGACGTTATAAAAAACACGCGCACCGTGCTCGGCCATCAGTTATAAGCCGGACAGCTGTGAAAAGGATGGAAGTGTCTAGAGATCACGTTCGGGGCTGTTTGTTTTACGACTTCAAAATGGGCTTATCAGCAGCTGCATCAAGTCGCCGCATATGTCAAGTGTTTGGGGATAGTGCTGTGGATGAACCTACTGCAAGGCGTTGGTTTCGAAAATTCAAGTCGGGAGATTTGTTTCTTCATGATGAGTCTCGCAGGGGACGACCACAGGTCTTGAATGACGGAGTCCTGACGGCGGCCATTGAAGAGGACAGTAGTCTAACGTGTGGTGGAACTTGCAAGACAGTTCAACGTTTCCGATGAAACAGTTAGACTTCACCTGCACCACCTAGGTAAGACGTACAAACTGAGCGAGTGGGTTCCGCAAACGCTGTTGGCGGTCTGCAAGGGACAACGTGTGGGAGCCTGCGTATCGCTGCTTTCTCGCCACCGTACCGCATCCTTATTCAATCGCGTGCTTACCAGTGACGACAACTGGGTTCTGTACGAAACTCCCAAGCGTTCCAGACATTGATTGTCTCCTCGGGATGCTGTCCCTCACACCGCAAGACCGCCTATGCACCCACGCAAGATTATGCTTTTTGTCTGGTGGACAGGTCGTCAAGTGGTTCATTATGAACTGCTACCAACGAGCCAAACGGTCACTGGAGACCTATACTCGCAGCAATTGAAACGTGTGTAACAGGCATTGTGCAAGAAGGAGCCAGCACTGGTGAATCGCAAAGGTGTGCTTTTCCTCCATGACAACGCCAGGCCGCATATCGTGCGAGTGGTCAGGGATACCATACAGCAACTTGGGTAGGAGACTTTGTGCCATCCACCTTATTCACCTGACCTAGCGCCATCCGATTACCACCTCTTCCACTCCCTGGATAATCATCTTCGTGGGAAATCCTTCACCAATGAAGCAGACTTGCGCAAAGCCCTCACGGACTTCTTTGCGTCAACCCCCCCCCCGAGTTCTACCGCAAGGGCATTGAACAGCTGGAGACACGTTGGCAGAAGGTGCTGGATGCCGATGGCGATTACTTCGGAAACTAAAGATAAGTTACACATACTGTGAAGCGTTTTCTTTTTTTCCTTTATTAACGGACAGAACTTTTTTTGGTTACCTTGTATAACCGCGATGAAATTCATTTCTATCCTTATAAAATAATAAAAACTAACAGGTCTATTTTTCTCGAAAAAGAAAACAAATTTAGTGCCAGAAAAATACATAAAATATTCATTTTTAATTAGAATTTATTCATTTGCATTGTTTGTGTCACTTCATCTAAGTTTTCGCCACTTTCATAATACAGTTTTTCTTAAAGAATTTAATTTGAAATAATGAAAAATGTACTGTGAACAGTTTTTAGCACATCATAATTTTCAAAACTAGTCCTGAAGATGTTTCTATAAATTCTAGAATCAGCTGTAATTAGATTGGTCAACATCTGGAGAAAAAAATTCCCACACCAGAACTATTATTTTTCAAATGTGATATTTACGGTAGGGTTTTAGTTTTATCATGAAGGAAAGCCACAAATTTACAATTGATCACACTGGAGTTCTTTTCCTTAAAAGCCTTGTTTAAATCTTTTGTTTGCAAAAGAGATCAGCTCTAACATGTTTCGCTCTCTACGTAGGTTATATGTAGGTATGGAGGAAAACAACGCATAACCTCCATAGAGAGCTTGAGTAAATGGATGACAGACAAGGTTTTTGAGAGATAACAAAAAGAAAAATGTATAAAGAGCTACAAAGAACAGGACATTGTGGTAAGCTAGGATCACTAATATTCTGAAGGGACACGGCATAGAAGAAGAAGAAGAAGAACAAGAACAAGAACAAGAACAAGAACAAGAAGAAGAAGAAGAACAACAACAACAACAACAATAACAACAACATAAATATTTTCCTTGGATATATGATAATTCCAGAATATATCTAATTGAAGAGCCAAAAGAAAAAGTTCGAAGAAGGCAAGAAAAAAAAAAGGTAAACGAGAAAGGAAGAAATAAAACAGTCAGTTATTTTATAGAAGTAAAATGAATAAAAGAAATTAAATGAAGTTACAAAAAATAAAATCTTAAAAGAAAATATTTGAAAAATAAAAATAAACGAATGAATCAAGTAAACTACCTTCGGTTGTGAGCCAAAATAAAATGAAAGAAGAAGAAGAAGAAGAAGAAGAAGAAGAAATAATAATAATAATAATAATAATAATATTTTCCTTGGATATATAATTCCAGACTGTTCTACAACCTGTTCGCATCTACTCAGCTTTTGTATGCATCTATTTATATTCTTGTAAAATATCCACTGTTTTCCGCCACTTCGTAATCTCTTAATTATAGAGGGACATTTAAAAAACAAGTACATTGGCTTTAGTCATATCGAAAGAACTTATTTGCATATTATAAATTAGTTGTCAATGACAGTGAACCGTTAAAAGGATATAAATCAAATGTCGACCTAATTTACCAGTGTGAATACTTTTTTCTATTGTGTGCAATCGTTAAACTCATCGAGATGATTTGTTTATGGCGTATTTTCTAATGCCGACAATTCATTTAATTTAAATGTTATCCTACACTGTAATCGAAACGAATAATTCGGTTTGCTTCGGCAATATTATTGCCTCCTCTAAACTCATTGAGTAAGCCAGTGGTTCTCAAATTGTGCAACGCGACTTATAAGTGCGAACGAAGAGGATAGCAGATGAGGTGGAATGACTGAAAGACTGTCAAAGATTTAGAATCAGTTCCAAAACAATTCATATGCCAAAAATAAATATGATTTCAAAAATTTAAAATATTATTATGGATTACTTGTAATTGGATGCATGAGTGACAGTATAAATAGCTATGAATAATTATTGACCTTTAACCATTGTGATATTTTTGCATTATATCAAGTATTAAGAATATAGTAACAATGTTCAGCAAATTGCAGCAAAGAAGTATTAATGATAATGTTCTGTCATCGAATCCGCGGTTATCTCCCTCTCTGATTTTTTTTCTTTATTTTTAAATGTAAAATTTATCACATAAAATTTGGAGAAGCGCGTGCAAATTTTCATTCCGAAAATGCGACCAAGAAAAAAAAAGTTTAAAAAGCACTGAGGTAGACTATAGTCACTAAAGACTCCCGCACTTTTTCGAGTGGTGTGTTTCCTGAAATTCAGTGGACTTCTGTGTTCCTTATTCGTTTAAAAATCTACGAAAACCTACTAACATATACCGTTAAAGTGTAGGCATTAATTATGTATGTATTTGGAGGCACGACCGAGTAGTGTGAATGCTAGTGTTGCGACCATGGGTCAGGGATCGAATCGCACAATGGTCAATTTGTCAAGGAGTTGATTATTAATATTATCGACATGAATCTGGGCCTGTGGCACCATTGGGAAGTTACTATGTGTTGTAAGTATAATTGATTATATTGAACTATTTGCATGATTATGTTAGCAGGTAGTCACAAGTCAACGTGACAGAGGTAGTGAGTGCACTGGCCTTGTTCAAATGAGCTCTCCTCTCCTCCACAAAACTGTAACTAAGGTCTGTACAGTATAGTTTCAATATGCAGCAAAATTTGGCTTTCTGGGAGTTCAATAAACACAATCCTGGCTGAACTCAATCCTTAAGTACCTGTAATCAATTCTTTACATTCAACACGATTTCCAACTATGTATTTCATTGAGCTTTCTGTCTTCCTTAACCGGAATAAAAATACATGATGTGCGAGATATTATCTGATTACACCAGAAAATCTTCGAGAAAGTGAGATTAGAGCTCCGATCCAGTTAAATAGAGGTTCACTGCGCACACTATGCAAAAAATAAACTAATCTACTTGCAGGATATATAATATCTCGATCTGTCGTATAAGGGAGATTACGAGACTAATAATCTGTAACTAAATAAACAAAAAAGACATTTCTTTTACAAAATACCACACTCAATGCGTAATGAATCCGAAAGAATAATATCGAAAGCAGTTTTAATTAAAAGAGAAAGTTATTTGTTGAGACGAAAATGCATAGAAAGTGCACTAATTTGAGACAGTAAATTTACGTCTACAAACAGTCTATCATCTTTCCTAAAATATTTAATGTTATTAAAATGTGAGGTATTTAATAATAATTGAGAAAAAGTGGTAGAAAACTGAACGATAGCGTTCAGGTGATGCATCTACACATTTGACGTAAATAATTTAAATTTACACTTCAGCCTCGCTCCATGTTTAACATTCTATTGATGAGCAATTTCAAACAACTTTTGTTGTAGTTTATACCCACCCCGTACAGATATGATGCTAGCGAAAAAATAATAATATTAGTCTGAATAAATCTTTCGAATAAGGAGACGCGCAACATAAGATATGTTCCATTTTGTCATTCAGTTACCCACTGTCTTTCCATCTGGACGTTTCTATCTATCTACCTATCTCGGTATCTCCCTATCAGTTTATGTCAATCTGTTTATCTGCTTGATTATCTGTCTATCTCTGTCTGTGTCTTTCTGTCTACATCTGTGTCGATCTAACTATGACTGTCTGTCTGTCTGTATCTATCTATCTATCTATCTATCTATCTATCTATTTCTACCTAACTACTTCTATCTATCTGCGTCGATCTGTGTCTGTGTCTCTATCTATCTATCTATCTATCTATCTATCTATCTATCTATCAGTTTATGTCAATCTGTTTATCTGCTTGATTATCTGTCTATCTATATCTGTGTCTTTCTGTCTATATCTGTGTTGATCTATCTATATCTATGTCTGTCTGTCTATACCTATCTATCTATCTATCTATTTCTATCTTACTGTCTTTATCTATCTATCTATCTATCTGTCGGTCGGACGGTCTGTCTTTTTTCTATGCATCTATCTGTCAGTCTGTCTGTCTTTATCTACCTATCTCTCTGCTGTCTGTCTCTATCTATCTATCTGTCGGTATGTCTGTCTCTATCTATCTGTCTGTCAGTCTGTCTGTCTGTCTGATTTGTCTATCTATCAGTCTACTGTCCGTGTGTCTCTATCTGTCGGTCAATCTGTCTCAATCTATCTGTCGGTCTGTCTGTCTATAATAATCATTATATGACTGAGACAAAATTTACCTGTTGTTACTGTTACTGTCCATATTAAGGTATCAAAAACAATTCATAGACTGATACGACATACGGGTAGCTTCCAATTCAGTTTAACAGACAGCTTTTAAATATTTGAAAACCCTGCGACATATAAGCGACTGAAAATATTTATCTAGTATGAAAATAAATATATAATTATTTATTGCTCTTCATGGTTAATATATCTAGAGTTATGTTCATACATACAGCTTCTATATTTATAAAGCATGTATGACAAAAAAACCTTATCTATTTTCAAGTACGTGAATACGGATGTGCGTGTAGCGCTGGGATTGACGATGTTGAAATTTCATTCAGGATCGTAACCTTCATATTCGCACAAGTTTTTTTTTTATATACGATTCATATTTATTATGTCCCTCAGCTATTGGTTAAATAGCAGGATAAAGCGTGCTTTCTAAACATGTATGGCTGCCAATCAATGAGAATGTATGTCTGAAGCCAAAACTTGTGGCAGCAGAGGATTCGATGCAATGGCCTGCTCGCTTCCGACATTTAAATAATATACAACAAAAATGCCCCAGTGGAGCCAAATAAGCGACCGACAATGATCATAGTGATGTGTTTAGATTTATTAGTACCTCTATAGTCTTATATGAAATCATGCCTTAGATTCGAGATGAATTATAAAGTTCTTCAATTTATGTACACACACACACACACACATATATATATATATATATATATATATATATATATATATTATTTTAGGATATTACATCGAAAACTTTCTCTACGCATCGAAAATCGAATGCACTTATGTAGCAATTTTGACATATTTTCGATGTAATATCAGAATATAAAGAACATTGCTCTATTTTTGTATTGAGCCCTCTTTTAAATTAAATGTTACGAGCATATATATATATATATATATATATATATATATATATATATATATATATATATATATCGAGTATGTCGAGTGATTCCGCACATTCTGTCCTTAAATCTAGTGTTTGGAAAAAGCGATCGAAAGTGGTTTTGCTTTTTTTTGCATTTAGTTTTCTGAACACTGATTGCAAAGAGAAAAGACTATTGCAGCTGACAGTCAACCGCATGTTGTTCGTTTCCAAGCTGGGGAAAACCGTAGCAGAAATGAAGATTTAAACTCTTTACACGTGGACTATTGTCCTCGTCTTTGTTGTTGTTATCACAACGTTTCGGATGTTGTAATCTCCGGACTTCAACAGATATATATTGATCGGAGTAACCTACAGGAAATTCTGGACTAAGCCCTTTATTTAATCTACGGGGGTAGATGTTCTCGTTTCACTACCCATGTTTTTTGAGATAGCTCGTCTAATTCGTATTATTAGTACTGCTCGGTTATTACAATAAATCGAATGTAAATATTGTAAATAAGAATAACCCATCGGAAATATCAAAAAGAAATGGAAATGATTGACAAATCCTATGTAAATTGTACCGACTACTAGTCGTACGTCTCATGAAATTTTACGAATATCAAAAAAACGTCCATTTTTATTTGTAAGAGAAACCACACAGAGAGAGATCATTCTTCTAATTGATTGTCCGATTCAATCAACGTTGGAACTGGCTGAAAAAGAAACTGCCGACCAGCCGATAAAATGTTTGCAAAACATAGGTAACATAAAAAAATCGTTGAACTGACACCACCTATAATTCCTGTACATGTCACACAGGAAAATAATATTTTGAGGTGAAATATAACTGGAGATTAAAATTGAATTCAATACGATATACCAGAAAGTCGCTAAACGTAATTGGATCCAGCACAGTTTTCATTCTTAATAGAAAAATCAAACCTTTTTTTGAATAAAAAGTCAAATACTCTTTATGTCAAGGGTCGGCAACCTACGGCCCGCGGGCCGGATCCGGCCCGTGAAGGCATTTTGACCGGCCCGCGAGCCTGATTACCAATGACTCTATTTTTAACATGAGTGATGATCTTCAAATAAAAATTTGTTATATGTCATTTTCCATAGAATGTCTACACATCTCAGTGCACTAAAAAAATACTAGACTATCTACCAGTTATCTTTCATGAGACTTATTTTACCAAGTTGCGTTGCCTACGTTTAATGTCAAATAATGGATACATATTTGTTATGACCCTTGGCTACATTAAAAGATAACAGAAGCGAAAGGAACGATAAAATGAAAGCGGCCAGGGAGGGACTGACATGCGAGGTAGCAGAAATCTAAAGGCAGTTAAACACACGCGCATTATACATACATGCCTCATGATGTGTGGATGATACCGCATGTGTACGTACGTAAGTGTATATGTTTGCAACTATTTGTACTCGTATGTATGGGTATATGTGCTTTGTTTTTGGTTGATGTGTACGTGTGTGGTTCGTTTGTGGAACAATTTTCAGTAACAGTTTCAAAGCTACACGTCATAATTTCATCTATTTCACTTCGGTTTATTTTTTTCACTTAGAAGTAGTTTGACGTTCCTTGAGGAAAAGTAATTTTTGTTAGGTGTTTTTTTTTTAATTTTAGATTTTTGTTTTTCTGATTTCTCAATGTTTATTTTCATTATGGTTTTAAATATTTAGGTTGACAGGGGTCTGCATATGTAATTTTTCTTAATTTTTTATTAATGGCCTTCGTCCGGCTCGCGACCCGTCATTATAACACGATCCGGTCCGCGGGGTCGAATGAGTTGCCGACCCCTGCTTTATGCGATTGGATATGAATGTAATACTGTATTGCCAATGATTGAAGCCTAGTGAAAAGGTTAGAAAATGTTATGTTTGTTTGTATCGATGTTTAAGTCAATTTATTGAATAGAGAAGCCTTAAAATCAGGCTTCTACATGACAATGCATATAGATGAATTATTTTTTCGATGAAAAATAACAAAATGGATTAGGTATGTGGAATTTTCCCACGCGAAGCATATTCAACAAAGTTGACTATAACAGGTAAGCTTTAAATATAGCTTCCATCTTCAAATTTTAATTACGTTGGAGCCAAACTAGTTTTATCAAATGGATAGGTTCATAAGTTCATAAAAGACACGGATAATGTTTTACAGATTATTGAGTATACGTACAGAGCTTCTATGTAATATCAATTCTACTATAGTTTATGACCTTTGCTTAGCTTCAGCGAGACAACGTTTAGCTTTCTGTGACAATTAATGAGCAAGCACGGTGTCGAGAATCTGATATTCACAAGGCATACTGAAGGCAAGTTCACAGGAAAACAGAGATAATCTATCTAACGAGATTGTGTAATGTATAGCGGAACAGGGACTGGGAGAAATGCTAAATGAACTAAATTTTCTAACGAAATGATAACAGGAGAATTGAATATTCTATATTTGACATAACATTTTATTTCCATCAGGTTCACTTTTGTTACAGCTAAACAGTGTGTGTGAAGCCCACATGCAAACCTTATAGTCTCGTCAGTGATGTCTGAGAGACTGCCAGAATCATTTCTGTGTTGATTGTTTTTTATGTCACTTCTGAAGTTGGTTCTCGCGCTTGTAGAACCAGCGTGCATCCGTGACACCACATGATTTTGCATCCCGAAAATGACAGCAGCTCAACCCTGAATCTGGCACCTTTGATGGTCTGGTGTGATATTGACTGCATTCTGATGGGATATGGAGAAAGAGACTAATACTTAACATTGCTTAGTACGACAAAGGATAGGAAGTCAGAGAGAGCTATGACCGTTCACGTTCTGATTCCATACGTCACAGAAAAAATTGTGTTAATTCTGTGGAATATTCTACTATTAAAAAAGTTATTATTCAGTATATATATATATATATATATATATATATATATATATATATATATATATATATATATAGACCCACAGAAAGGCTGTTCGCCGTTCATCAGTGTGGCTAGACATCTGATTGTCTCAAGGACGGGATCGAAACTAGACTTATATGTGATCAGTCGGAGATTTTACCCCTAAGCCATTGACGCACGGCAGGGATGAAGGTAAATTTAGATAGATGGATGGATTAGAAACGACTGTCAATTTACTGCGGTAAAGTATTTATATATTCTTTTCTTGTTGTTTATAGGTTTCTTCTTTTCTGGATATAGATTGTTGGAACGTTCTCTATGTCCAAGCCCTTTCGGGTATAATTTTACCCATTATGAAGCATGACTTTTTATTACCTTTATCTGAATGCATGAATTTTTATATGTATGTATCTAGGGTTATAGAATTTTTCCATGCACGGTCAGCACATTATGGCCGTTTTCATAGTTTATATATCAAGAACAATTTTAGTGAAAAGAAGTTTGACAGTGAAATAAATTTTTACGTGACGCGTTTTTTCTTGTTGGACTTCATGGGATATAATTTATGTTTACGTTGATGTAACTACACAAGCACACAAAGGAAATTTAATTTAATTAATATGTTTTGGTTATATTATCTAGCCAGATTCATATTCTTTTTCTTATCCAATATTATATATATATATATATATATATATATATATATATATATATATATATACAGTGTTGTTCGATAAAAGTGACTCACTTGATTTATTTTTCTAAAAATTTATTTGTCTATTGTTTTGGGGGGTAAAATAATTTTTAATCTTATTAGTATAAAAACCTCTTCCCGACCACCTAGTAAAAAAGTTTATTCATCCGAAGGTATTCTATTGATAATTATAAATTTGGAATTAATTGAGATTCAGGAAAAAAAACTCTGTGCAAAAAAAGGTCACTTAGATATCGCATTCTAATGATTAAACTGGTAAATTTAAAGAGCTTTTGACAAAATATTGAAAACTATTTTACAATACACTCAGAACAATATTCTAGAGAATTCTAGAACAGCTTAAATTAAATCTAGAGTATTCCAGAATATTCCA